ATTTGGAAATGGATAGGGGCAAATCTTTTCACTCTTATCATCGACCAATGGTATGGTGATCCTTGATGTGTAGGGTTGGGTAAGACGGGTAGGGTCTTTACATTTATGTCATTGTTTTGAGGTGATTTGGATCCTTCAATAGCCAAAACATATGTAAAATGGAATGAGTTATCTAGATTCATATAATTATGATGAATATAATTATGATGAATGTAGTGATAATCATCGATGAATATGTGAGTGATGACACTAGTTGAGGTTTGTAATTTATTTCTTTTAGTTTGTTTGTTCAGATTTTTATATTTGTGATCGGTGTTTGTAGTTTGATGTTTCAGTATGATATAACTTTTTGCATTTGAACTAATATGACATTCGTCATTATTATATCTCTTTTCATTAAAATAATGTTATTCCGCTACTTTTACATACAAGTGTCTCAAAAAATTCATCAAATTACACCTCGCTATACATTGACCTAACTTGAACTCATGTAGCAAACCCAAAATTTGCAACTATGGAGAGAGAAATACTTGCTGGCCTGGAGAAGAACTAAACAGCTAGTTGAGTTTTTACCTGTTGGAAAGGATATCAAGCTTACAAAATTTCATGTTTTGTTATCTTAAATAAAATCCATATAATAAATTGTAGGATTCTTATTAGAAATGGTAACACGGAACATTTTATAGATTTTGCACTCGAAACCACGAAGTTTTAGTATGGGTCTATGTAACTAGTTTTGTCTTGGTTATTTGGGCCAGACCTTTGTTAAGTCAAATTAGTATTGGAGTTGACAAGCGTGAGCCTTGAAAAGGAGCCCAACTCTGTTTACGTCCAAGTGTTTATCAAGTAGTCGAATTTGAGACTTGCACAGACATGGCTCATCAGCCAACTTCCACAATTTCAGAAACGAGCAAACATAAAAAGAAACAGCTTTTTACCTCACTAATATGACTATATTGTTCTTATTTCTTTCCAATAGACCATGAGATGGTTTCACCACAGTTTCTTTCAGAGACTATGACTATGACTATGACAACAGAAAACCACAGTTTATCATTGTTCTCTAGACCAACAACACTACACAACTAGATGCTAATTGATCTCTACATCTTCCAGCAAAAGCCACTGCTTTCATTGTTTACATGGATCGATTTCTACAAGTTCGAGTGCCCAACACGGAGTTGAACCCTGTGCCACGATGTGTTCAGTACCCCTCTCAGGTTCCAGATTTCTTGCACGCTTTCAGGCTGCACATTTGCTGCTGAATCCACCTGCATTTTTGTTGATCAACACACCATACAAACTCATATGATCATTACTCCAACAGAGTGACAAATTAAATTATCTGTTTCTTGGAAATCATATAGACACATGATGCGGGAAAAGGGAGCAAACAACTTACTGCTTTAGCCACAATCTCTACACTATGAGGGACATCCACAGTAGCCTCAAAAAGAACCCATGCCCATTTGTCGCTGTTCGTATCATCGGATACATATGAAATTCCGGGCTTTTGGTACCTGGTAGCTTCCACCCAGGTCTTACCACCATCCATTGACACATCGACTCTCTCGATCCCCCGCCCACCTCCTGATACTGCATACCCGCTGACCCTAACCTGCAGAAAGCAAGTGAGCTGCAACCCATGACTGTTCTGAAACTATGAACATACAAACTTTACTGGGATTCTCCAAATTAAAGAGCCAGAAAAGTATTGGGTTTTGAAATATCGAGGCAGTTCTATCACTTCATTACTACATCCTAGTGGAAGGACGAATACATCATTTAATATGTAGTGCTGAAGGGAAAACTAACCTTCCCAGGCTGCTTCATGATAGTCAGATCCTCTAAGGAACAAATGGCACTCTGTAGGTTCATGAATTCATTTGTTAGTCGATTAACTTATCAATGTTTTCTCAAGAATGCAAAGTTGGAGGTTAGTTGGAAAGCACCTACCTGGACAGGGAAGTCCATTTGTGGCCTCCTCGTTGACCAATCAATGTTATCCCAATTGACTGATGGCGGGAACATCTTATAGTCTTTTTGCATGAAGAAGCCCTGTTCAATAGCTAGGAAAGTTTTTGAGGTCTTTGAGGGATTTAAGATGAAAATTCTGATTTCTTATGGAGGCAAGAAATCTACACGAACCTGACATTCATTGGCTAATATGTTGATGGAATCCAACCACTTCACAGAACGAGCACCTATGACACCTGGGACAACCACTCGTAATGGGTAACCGTGGTCCCTGTTTAAACACTTTCAACATGACAAACATAAACATATAATTTATTAGATTGGTCCAGAACTTCAGTAACCTATTGCCTAAAAGAACAGACGTGGCAGCATTTGGTCCTTTATCGACAATCATTCAAGCCCAATTCTGACAACAGGTATCTTGACCACCAAAAAAAACACGCGTTAGGTTTACTGACCTCTCCATTCATCTCATAAGCAAGTAGAACATCAGCATCAGGGTTTGTGGCTTGGAAGAGCGGAATCGATGCTTTATAAGGTCCCCCATTCTCCTCCTAAGATTTAGGTTTTCCAGTGATATGAAGAGGCAAGTCAAGTATAAGTCAGCCATAGAAGCCAGAAACCTTATACCAAAGACTGTCGTCAGTACCTTGCATTTATCAATGCTCACAAATTCAACATGCTTCCCACCAGATTTGGTGGCAGCAGTGAACTTAGGTATGCCGACAAGTTCAAGAACATCAGCCAATTTGGCACCACCCCAAACAGCTGGAGGAAAAGTAATCATCGACACATTCAAAAGCTTAGAATCAATATGCTATCAATATTATCGGACTAAAGAACTCCATCAAAGATTAGGCCATGCATGTTATTTTTCAGCACAGAGGAAGCACAGCTTTAAGAGGCGGTAAAAGGACTAACCATTTCCAATCGCAGAGATACCCCACCCGACTCCTTTAACTGTCTTGACTTTGCTCATGGCAGTCCTCCTGTTACCAGCGCACTATATATACCCCACCAAAAAAGAGCAAATACCTTAAGTTCAAGCAAAGTAGTCCAAATCAAATTTAAGGCAGAAAAATGTCTAAGACTTAGTAAGACATAAGATACAGACTTCACCTGCAAGGTAGCTGCAACACTGTACTTTGGAAGCGACCTATCGATGATGAAAGAATGAAAGTCAGTTTACTAAACCTACGCTTCAGCTGTTCTGCATCCTATTAACACAACTATATAAAATTTACCTGATATCTCTCATGGTCAGCTCCTTGGGGGTTTCAATCAGCCCATTCAAAGAGACGGAGTATCTGCTCACGACAGTCAAGAATATAGAATCAATAACAATCAAACAGAAGTAACTTTCAAGGGAGAAATGCACCAAATGTGTAATCGTGATCACGACCTTTCAATATCATCAACCACTGGAATGGGACCATGATTTCTTTTATAGAAAAAGTCCACAGGAGTCACATAAGAAGTCACCAAGGCTGAACGAGGTGGCTCCGCATTGAATGGTTGCTGGCAGAAGCACAAACAATTGAGCACCATGATCATTTAACTGCCACCCCAGAAACCACTCAACAATACTATAATCTATACATGAATTTTGGGGAATTCTAGCGTAATGGAAGAGATGCTAAGTCGAATTTCATTCCAATCAGCTAAACAATTCGCGGATAAAGAAGCTGGATTCATTGAATCATGAACTATCTCATATCAGTTAAAGAGCATGAGCCATAGAAAGAACACTCTCCATCACACAGTTCGCAGTCATCCCCAAGTGAGAAAACCCGAGTTTGAGGGAAATAAGAACAACCCCAATGGGGAAAAGCCGAGGAAGTGAAGCAGACCTTGGAATTGATGACGAGGGAAGGATGGCGAGGTGGTTCCCGGGAATACTCCGAAGGACCCTTTATTCCAGGCATTGTTTTTCTTGCTATCCAACAAATCCCTTACAATCCTGAGAATCGCAGATAGAATAACAGATATACAAAGAAAGAAGGGATTCTGAGTTTTCTATTGATTCCCTTCTGCAATATCAATGGCGATGAGAGAGCCAAAGAAGGTGGTAGAGATCAGAAGAGAAAAGGCCAAACCTTTTCGGTGGTGGAAGCGAAGCGAGTGTAGTGGAAGTCTGAATGTGACCGTAGCCGGTGACGTGGCCTTCTGGTGGGACCCAAAGATTCCTCTGAACAAATACGCGATAATTGAATCTCGCGTAAGCGGTGGGCTGCAAAACAGGGTCCAATATTGATGGTAACAACGGAATCCATGGGCGAGTCGTTATCGGGCTCGCTATAGGCCCAATCAGGCTTCCTTCCACTAACCTTCATGAACTGCAACTGAGAAATGACTACCCCACCCCCGTCCGCCGGATGGTCTCTCGGTCAAACCCAATATGTGGGATTTGGTGTGGTTTGCAAATTGTCACAAATCAAACTTCCACCATTACTTTTATTAAAAAAAAAAAAAAATTCTTCCACCATTACTCACAACCCTAAACCTCAATAGCACAAACCCTAAAATTACAAAGTCATCTTCATATCTTTCTGAATCGATAATGAAATACAACTGAATCGTAAATGTGAATTTTCCATAATAAAGTTAAACACTACGTTAATTATTGAATGATAATAAAATTATCCATATTCATTTCTCTCTAGCTAGATCGTTCTTCAAGTTGCGGCGTCTTCCTTACTTCCCTGCTAGCAGCATCATTGGTGTTCTCTCTTCCAAAGGCGGGCACTTCTCGCTATCGACTTATGTCTTCTTTTACTTCTTCCCTCCCCTTCCTCTCCTCCCTCACGCATACACACCCACACCCACATATATACATATATAACATGTTGAAATTATGTACACTACATCATTCACAAAATTACACACAACCAACCACCCTTATTTAATAAGAAAAAATCCCAAGAAAAGAACAATATCATATTTATTTCCTAACTACTTGTGACGTGAAACACACTTGCACTTACAATCGTCGTAATAAACTCAAATCAAACAATAGCTAACTATTAATTTATTTTAAACAAACAGATTTATCTTGTCCGATCGATAGCTAACTGATCATAACCTGGCTGACCGGCAAGAAACATTCGTTCGTTCATTCACAAAAGGGTCGTCTAACTCTAATCTAGGGACGGAGCTTGTGTTTGTGTGGCTCCTCGTCACAGGGATAGAAACATTGACAAGTCAACCAAGGGCAGTGTCCATAGGACTCATATCCAAGTAGCCGTCTGCATTGGTAATCACACGTCATAAACATACACGCCTGTTGTCCCGGTATCACAGCTTTCACGCACATATATGGAGGATGCAGTGGAGGATGAAGTGGAAGTGGTTCATGATAATCTCTTCCTAATAACAATAATAATAACTCTAACTCAGTGCCACTTCAAATGTATGTTGGTATAAACACATGCATAAATAAATCTAGAGAAAATATTGTGTACACTTTAAAATTTTACATACCATGACAAATAACGGCAAAATGATGAACCACCATTAAGAGGATAATAACTGACAAGGTCTTCATATGTTTCCGCTGAATATGAAAAAAAAAACAATAATGTTGATTAAATCTAGGTTATAATAGTGGCGAAACAAGAACTTACAATAGAGAGGCCGATATGCGTTGAAAATCTCTTGCAGCAACCTTCCATTATTAAACCCATATGTCGGAGAAGGGGAGCTACTAACCATCATCCTACCACTTTTTAATATTTTAGTCCAGATATGAATACACATACTATAATTTAGATTAAAAAAAATGAAAGGACACCTCTTAAACTACACTAACTCCGTCACTGAGATGCAACAATTTTGTTGGCTCCGGTAATGAATGATACGCGATCATAGAATGTCGTTACTCGTTACCAAATGATAAGACACATTTTTAAATCCAAATATCAATTCAAAATAACCTTGGGAAGACTAGGGGCTTATTGATCGGCTTTAACTGACTTCGAACTGTGGCTTAATCACTGTCGCTTGAGCAAATGAAGGTTCTGGTATGCAAAAGAAGATGTAATAAGGATGATGTAAATTTAAGGCTTAATTAAAAGGGTGGTCAGAGACTTTATAAGAAGAGAGAGGGAAGATTATAGCGAGAATAAAAACTTGTGTATCATAATCTTATTTTTTTATATCCAAATGTGTATCATAATAAAAGGGGGGAAATATAGGTAAATCCCCCATTTTGTTGCATAAGAATAGGGCACCACAGGTTATATATCCTTTTAAATCCACTAAACAAAAGCACAAAGCGGCATGAGAAGTGATAATCAGGTAATTTGACGGGCTCCATAAAAAAATAGGCTAATAAACTTGTCTTTTCCACGTACGAAAATATCCAAGTCAATAGAAATTAAAATAAATAAATTTTAGATAGCCAAACTCGTATTGATGCTACACAATCATAATTCATAACTCCTCTCCATTAAATAAATCTATATTTCAGTAATGAAGCTTTTATTGGATAATAAGCTTTTTTTTTTAACAAAGAGATATCCTTTTTATTCCCACCAATTCAAAGATGAACCAAATGATTAATCTTAAGTGGTTAATAAGCTTGAAGCATGTTGATTCATATCCAAGTTAGTAAAGATATTTTAGATTCCACCATCGAATTGATTGAGTTAAATTAATTTGAGACCCCACTTAAGTGGAGTCTTGTATCGGTGCTTCGAATGCGAGACTTTATTAGCGGATCCTAAAATAGTAGTTGTCTCTTCAAAATTAACAAAACTAAAATGCATGATACTAACGGGTGGAGTTGCAACTAGACTCCAAGACGGCTATCGCGCTTCTCTAGTACACCGGAAGCCATAGTCACCAGCACGCAAGCCTCACCATGGTGTTTCAGTCTCTGCTGCGCCGGGAGTGGGAAGTCCAGATCACACACATTTATAGAGAGACCAAATTTTTGGCCGATTGCCTAGCTCATAAGGGACACTCGCTGTCTCCAGGCTACCATCCTATTGCTCTTTCCGATTTAGATGTAAGCCGTTGGACCCTTTTTGACTTTGTTAGCGATTTTACCGTTCGTTCGATAATTGAATAAGAGGTTGTGGTGTCTTGCACCCTTTCACCCAAAAAAATGAATGCAAGCTAATGTTGCTAGGGTGTACATTGGTAGACTTTAACCCAACCAACTATTTATTAAGCCCTTACATTAAGCGGATAGGCTTGTCAAGCCCAGCAGCAAATTACACCAACAGAACTAGAAATTTCACACTCAAACTTTCGGCCCAAATATTTATCCCAACAGCCCAATTCTAGAAATAAAATCCGACCCAACTTTTGACTATGGAAATGGTGCACTTACTAAACACAAGGGCTGGGCATGCGGGCGGATCATCCGCGGGTTTGGGCCGACCCACCCGCATTTGACTCGAATTTCGTTAAGTGGGTGGGTCTGTGGGTGGGTGACGGGTTGCGCTGGGAGCCATCCGCCGGATGGTGGGTGGGTTGTGGGTGAGTGTGCGGGTGACCCGCTCAATCCAACAGCAAAAAAATCAAAGTCGTTGGTGCTAGAGAGAGGAGAGTGGAGACGTTAGATATAAACTCGGACTGCTCCTGGAGTTTGAACCTCAAAGCCAACCTTCCAAATAGAGATCCCCTCTTCTTCCCTTTACTTTTTCCTCTAATTCTTGTGCCTAGATCACCGCTCTTTCCTTTGTGGAATTATTTTACTTAGTTACTTGCACCTAATAATCGTCTCAATATGTAGAAAACTCTTTCATAATAGAATTTTTGTCCAATTTAATAACTAATTCGACATTTTTCGCCTTATTTCAACTTCTGGTTTCCCTCGATGATTCTCTTCACCTATTATCATGTCAAGTTGACTCCTTTATATTATATGCATTGTGATGTGGGTGAACCTACAAACCCACCCGCATCATCCACCATCTGCCCGACCCAACCCGAGACTAAATGTGGGTGGGTGGTGGGTTAAAAATTATCAATCCGTTTAAGCGTGGGTGGGTGCATTTTATGGTCAAAATCCACCCGACCCACCCAATGCCCACCCCTACTAAACACCAATTTTCCATCAAGACTTCCCTGCAATCAAGAGACAAGGAACAGAGCAAGAACTAGTCAAACACACAAGACAAACCCAGAAAATGGAGATTGAAATAAATTCAAACCCAGTTATTATTCGATCCACACACTTTGTTTCAGCGGTTCTCTTGAACTTCCTTTTCCTTCTCCTTGGTTTGGCAGAAGAAACATTACATGATGATACGCCCTATGGCTATGGGCTAATGATAACAGAGATACATGATTTAGCTCAATTAGACATAAAGAAGTTGATGTGGCTAATGATAAAGGAGATACATGATTTAGCTCAATTAGACATGAGAGTTATTGAAGTTGATGTTTGTGGCGACAATGGGGCTTTGCACCACATGATTGCCTCCATCGAATTCAGTCCACTTGATGTAGCCAGAAGCTAAGAAGGTTTCGTTGTCCCTCACAGGATCAACTCTTTCTATGAGAAGATCGTAGCTGAGCTTCTCCCCTTGTTCTTTGAACTCCAATTCCTCTGGTAGCACACTGATTGAGAACCCTTTCAATGGCGTGAAAACTGCTCTGTAGCATGCCGTACCCTCACCGACATTCGTCAATGTCCTGTGAAACCGCACAATCTGATGATCAGGAGGACAGCTGCTGCTGCTGCTGCTGCTGCTTGTTGAGTAGTTCCTGTCAAAAAACGCGATAAAAGAAGGGTAATTCAAGTCCAGCGATGGGTTGGAGCGGTTGGCGGCAGAAGACGACCGCGTGAGTGCTTTGATTTGTTTGCTGGTGAAGTTGAGAGCACAAAGCAAGCTCACATAATCGGAGGTGTTGAGGTCATAGACTAGGCCCGGGTCCAAGGCTTTGGTCGGGTTAACCTGACCCGCACCCATTTCCAAACCCGTAGCTGGGGTATGGCTCCAGTTCGCCAAGTCCCTGATTGGTTGGCCAGTATTATCCAAAGCATCTGCGGTGGTCATCATCGCTGATCGGACAGCGGCCGTGCTCCAATCTGGGTGAGTCCTTTTTATGATCGCCGCCACTCCAGCTAAATGCGGGCAAGAGAAGGATGTTCCATAATCTATTTCGAACTGCTGAGGAAACTCGGGGCCGAATGGCGTAGCTCCTAGGATCATCGAGCCCGGACCCATGATGTCCGGCTTCAGCACATACGGACAGCGGACGGATGGACCTCTGGAGCTGAAAGCTGCCACTCCTGCTGCAGGCTTTGTGTTCAGCTTGGTGATTCCAAACCTTGACAGAAATGAAGAACAGCAAATCCATATGGAAGAAGGATTGCAGAAGAGGAGAAGAAACGAAGTCGTTTAAACATAGTTTCCATTCCTAAAGGTGCTGCGACACCGTTTTGTTATTACTGCGTATTAGCCGTTAAAACACTGTTTAGTCTTTAAACTTAGCCAGTGACATAGAGACACTTGGCAACTACCTGTAATCCCAGATTATGAGCTGATATAAAACAGCAGAGCAGCACACTGCTGACTCTGTAATTGTTCGGCCATTTCACAACCCTAAACATAGAAATTGTCATGGTATCAGAGCGGCCGTCCTAGGGCCGATTCCGCGACGCGATGTCGGAGCAAACCGAGGCTGAATCGACTGATGAAGCTCGGCGTGCTAGCGGCGTCTTCAACAACATAAATTCTCAGTTTGGGACTACTTCAGGTGACCAGAGCGGCAACAATGGAGTCATCGTCTTTGGTAATCCTCTATACCTCAACCCAAACGAGAATTTCACACAACCCATCGTCTCTGAGTCGTTGGATGGAACAAATTACTCCATGTGGAGTAGATCTATGAAGAAGGCACTGAAGATGAAACATAAACTGTGTTTCATCGATGGATCTATGGCGATTCCAGCCAGAAATGATCCGATCTATCTACTGTGGGATAGTTGCAATATAGCTGTAGTTACTTGGATTCTTAATACACTGCAGAAAGATATCAAGAGATCGGTTATGAGTCATGAGAATGCCAAAACCTTGTGGGATGAACTTCACCGTAGATTTGGTCAGTTAAATGCTAATAGATTGACAAATCTAGAGGATGAGATACATCGATGCAAACAGGGTTCCATGACTATTACTCAATACTATACTTTAATCAAAGGTTTATGGGATGAATACTCGGAATACAGTCCTATTGTTGAGTGCAATTGTATTCCAGGAAACCCAGTTCCCTGCACTGCAGTGGTGGCATATAATCAGAAGCAAGAGACTGATTATCTAATCAGATTCCTCAGAGGCTTGAACCCAGAGTTTGAGGGAGTGAAGAAGCAGCTTCTGATGCTCAAGCCTCTACCCACAGTGGCAGATGCAGTGGATGATTTACTGCAACATGAACAAGAGTTAAAGGCTAATGGGTCAGGAAGTGGGAAAAGGTCACAGACTGTGGCACTTGCAGTGCAATCCGAGACTACCAAGGCAAATGAGTCTAATGAGAAGAGTCAGGGTAAGAAATACTGCAAGTTCTGTAAGAAGACCAACCACAACATTGAGGAGTGTTGGACTTACAAAAGGAAGCTTAAGGAGCAGGAGCAGGCGGGTGGTATGCAACCTGGTCTTCAGAAGTTTGTTGGTTCAGTGTCTCACAGCACTTCCAGCAGCAGTGAATCACCATCTGAGTCCAGTTTTCATAATGAAAGCAGTGTGGTAAGTCATCCTATTCCTGGTTTTACCCCAGAGGAGTTGAACAAGCTGAGATATTTGCTGCATTATGGTGCTGGTAGCACAGGTTCACCTTCCAACACAGCCCATACCTCACCTTCCCCCCCCAACTTCTCCTTCCATACAACACCAAGCATATTCTGTTTCCCAGTATCTTCCCCCATTCCCTAATTACTCAGGTAAATATGTCCTATCCTCAACCATTCAATACAATGGTCTTAAGCCTGATGGGTTGTGGATATTAGACACAGGAGCATCTGACCATATAGCTTGTTCCATAGACCTGTTTACTGAGTATAAGAATGTTCAAGATGTCTTTGTTCATCTACCAAACTCTTCCAAAGTTGTAGTAAGTCATATAGGAACTGTCAAACTACCATTTGGTCTTTTCCTATATAATGTTCTCCTAGTGCCCAGTTTTTCCTTCAATCTGGTTTCAGTTAGCAGACTTACACATGACTACCCACTTTCCTTACACTTTCACTCTGATATTTGCCAAATCCAGGACCTTCTAAACAAGAGGACGATTGGTTTAGCAAGAGAAATTAGAGGACTCTACCAGCTTACCTTCTCACATCAGTCCACCACCCAACCAGACCACCACCAAAGTCAAGCTGCCAGTGTCTTCAACTTTAGCACCCAACAAGTAGATTTGTGGCACTGGAGGCTAGGACATCCCAGCAATGATAGACTTAGCTTGTTACAACACATAGACTCATCTGTAACTAGCTCTAAAGTAGATCATTGTAATATTTGTCACTTTTCCAAGCACAAAAGACTACCTTTTCCTATTAGCACTACTAATGCAGACAAACCTTTTCAGCTTGTTCATGTGGACATATGGGGTCCTTTGTCAGTCATTTCTTATGATGGATACAGTTACTTTCTTACCATTGTGGATGATTGTTCAAGGGCAGTCTGGGTTTATCTGATGCACCACAAAAGTGAAACCAGAGATCTTTTCAAGGGGTTTTGTTCTCTTGTTAAAACTCAATTCAACAGTAAAGTGCAGATTGTTAGGAGTGACCAGGGAAAGGAGTTTGATATGTGTGATTTCTTCTTAAATGAGGGCATTGAACACCAGATGTCCTGTGTGTACACTCCTGAGCAGAATGCCAGAGTGGAAAGAAAACACCAGCACATTTTAAATGTGGCTAGGTCTCTAAGATTCCAATCTGGTCTTCCATTGCAGTACTGGAGTGATTGCATACTCCATTCTGTTTACTTAATAAACAGGATGCCTACCCCTATTCTTCATAACCTTTCTCCCTATGAGGTTCTCTATCATAAACCTCCCTTTCTTGGCAATCTGAGGGTCTTTGGCAGTTTGGTTTATGCTGGTACTCCTGCTGCAGGCAGAACCAAATTTGCACCTCGAGCCAGGCAATGTGTTTTGCTAGGCATACCTCCTGGGATCAAAGGGTATAAGTTGCTTGACATCAACAGTAAACAGGTTCTCATCTCTAGGGATGTTGTGTTCTATGAGTCTATTTTGCCTTTTAGAACAGTTGAGAACTCCACTCATTCCCCTCCCCCTACCTCTCCAGTACCTACTGATACTCCAGTAGATTCTAATACTCCTCCAGCTCTGGTTATCCCTAGTTCTACTTCAAATTCTCAGCCTCCACCATCTCCTGAATTGGCCTCAGCTGAAGATGGGGATGAAGTGGTAGATCATGAGGAACAAGAGATAGTTGAACTAGAACCAGAACTGGCACCTCAGCAAGATTTTGCACCAACAACAAGACCAAAGAGAAGTTATCATTTGCCCAGCAAATTTGATAACTGTGAATTGGATCCAGCACTTCATTTTGGGGCTTTTGGTAGTCATTCTGCAGCAGCTACCAGCAGATATCCAGTGGTTCTAAATGTTGATCATCTCAATGCAGAGGACAGAAAGTATGCATTGAGTGTTATCCAGCTAGAGGAACCATTGACATATCAAGAAGCAATCAAATATGAACACTGGAGAAAAGCAATGAGGGAAGAATGGGATTCTCTGGAGGAAAACCAAACCTGGGATATAGTTCCATTACCAGCAGGGAAGAAGGTAATTGGAAACAAGTGGGTTTATAAGATTAAACTCAAACCAGATGGATCTATTGAGAGGTTTAAATCAAGGCTGGTGGCTAAAGGGTATACACAGGTCTATGGAATAGACTTCCTAGACACCTTTTCTCCAGTAGCCAAGATAAACTCAGTAAAGGCTCTTCTGGCAATTGCATCTGTGAAGAATTGGACATTGGAACAAATGGATGTGTCCAATGCCTTTCTCCATGGGGACTTAAATGAGGAAGTATACATGCAACTGCCACCAGGTTTGGATCTGGAATATACAGGTCCACAGAAGATGGTTTGCAGATTGAAGAAATCATTGTATGGCCTGAAGCAAGCCTCTAGACAATGGTTTGCAAGGTTAAGTAGTTTTCTCCTTAAAAATGGTTTTAGTCAATCTGCATCTGATTATTCTTTGTTTACAAAGTGGATCAGAGGAAGAATTGTGGTGATGCTGATCTATGTTGATGACATTATAATAGGGGGAGATGCCTTAAAGGACATTGAGCAGGTTAAGAAGGCTTTGTGCCAGGAGTTTAAGATGAAACTGCTAGGTCCCTTAAAGTATTTTCTTGGTTTGGAAATCAACAGGACAGCTAATGGTATAAGTGTGTGCCAGAGGAAATATTGCTTAGAGTTGCTGAATGAAACAGGTTACTTGGAGTCTAAAGGGTGTCAAACACCTGTTGACTATAAAGTGAGACTATCAGCAACACAGGGTACTCCTTTGGCAGATGCAGAACAATACAGGAGATTAGTGGGGAGACTCCACTACATCACCATAACAAGACCAGACTTGGCATTTGCTGTTCAACAGCTTTGCCAGTTCCAAAAGCAGCCACATGAGGAGCACTTGCAAGCAGCTCACAGGGTTCTAAGATACTTGAAGAATGGACCTGGCCAGGGAATTCATTTTGACAGTAATGCTGAGTTGAGATTAACTGCTTTCTGTGACTCGGATTGGGCAAGCTGCCCAGACACCAGAAGATCCACCACTGGTTACTGCACTTTCCTTGGAAAATCTCTGCTGACATGGAAGACTAAGAAGCAAACCACTGTTTCCAGATCTTCCTCAGAAGCAGAATACAGGGCTTTAGCAATGACAGTGTGTGAACTACAATGGTTGAAGGGTTTGTTGGAGGAATTGAGTGTCAAGGTTCCCTTACCTATCACTGTTTATTGTGATAACAGGTCAGCTATCCATATAGCTGAAAACCCTGTGTTTCACGAGAGGACCAAGCACATTGAGATTGACATCCATGTTACCAGAGAAAGGATAAAGACAGGTTTAATCAAGCTACAGCATGTCAACACTTTGAACCAGCTTGCAGATATCTTTACGAAGGGATTGGAGCAGGCTAGGCTTAAGGATTTGCTTGGCAAGTTGGGAGTCTTGTTGCCTGCCACAACTTGAGGGAGGCTGACAGAAATGAAGAACAGCAAATCCATATGGAAGAAGGATTGCAGAAGAGGAGAAGAAACGAAGTCGTTTAAACATAGTTTCCATTCCTAAAGGTGCTGCGACACCGTTTTGTTATTACTGCGTATTAGCCGTTAAAACACTGTTTAGTCTTTAAACTTAGCCAGTGACATAGAGACACTTGGCAACTACCTGTAATCCCAGATTATGAGCTGATATAAAACAGCAGAGCAGCACACTGCTGACTCTGTAATTGTTCGGCCATTTCACAACCCTAAACATAGAAATTGTCAAACCTCAAGCTTGCTGTTTTGGGCTCGGCGTTACTACTGTTGAGGTAACGTTTGATGATCTCCCCATCTTCCAACGCTATGAAAACCCCCGGGTACGGATGCTCATAAGTTGGGGCGAATTCCCGGTCAGTGATCGTGCGGTTGATTATGAAAAGGCTTCCAGCTGCGCCGGAAAATAGGACGTTGTCAAATCGTTTATGCTCTGTGAAGTTCTTCTTCTCCTCCTCCTGACACACCACAATTTTCCCCTTCGATTTGTTGCGGATTTCTGCTATGTTTAGGCAATCCCCCAGGAAGATAATGGGAGCTTGGATGACTGAGGAGAGCTGGCGCCCCCTGTATAAAGATGACCCAATAACTGAGACTCCATTGCCGAGCTCGACGACGGCCTGGAATTGACGATCAATTGTCCCCGCAGCGACGGTCAGCACCCATGGTATCCCGTTGCTAAGGGTCTGGTGCGACGGGCCGTTGTTCCCGGCGGCAAGGGCGACGAAGACGTTCTTCTCAACTGCGGCAGCGAATGTTGACAAGGCAATTGGGTCCTCGTAGAGCGGGGGTTGATCCATTCCCATAGAGATGGATAAAACATCCACGCCGTCGCCAACTGCTCGATCAATTGCCGCAATGAAATCTGAATCCTCCACGGCTACGTACATTGCTACATGGGCTTTGGGAGCCACTCCCCTTGCGGTTCCAGGTGCGTAGCCGTGGTAGGATGCACCATCCACGAAGTTTCCGGCTGCTATGCTGGAGGTTTTGGTCCCGTGTCCCTCCGGGTTGTTGTCGCGAGGGGAGATCACCTTACCCTTTGTGGTACTGATATTGAAAACGTTTCCAGCTTTGTCGAACACCTGAGCTCCGACCAACTTGTTGTTGCACAAGGAACGGTTGGAGAATCCGCACTCTCCTTTCCATCGTGCAGCAGGCAGGGGGTTCATCCCGTGGTCGCTGAAGCTTGGACTCTCCGGCCAGATGCCCGTGTCCACCAACCCAATGATCATTCCTTCGCCATAGTTGGACACCTCCCAAGCTCCGGAGCAACCCGTGAGCCCCAAGAACTCGGGGGAGTGGGTGGTGGCGTACTCGATCGGCCCGTTCCTCAGCTTCGTGGAGTAAAGATACCCCGGAGACCTTTGCACATAGGAGAGCTCCAAAGGTGTCATTGCAGCGCTAAACCCATCGATCACGTGGGAGTAGCTGTAGACGAGCCTTGCCGTGGATGAAATGGAGGACACAGTGGCCAAGTACCACTGGTGACTGTCAACGAACGGCTTGGGCATTGTCGTGGTGTCCATGAAAATTAGGTAGTGGTCAATTTTGGAATCTGTGAGGAGTGAATTCAAGGAGATCACAACAGTACTAGTGACCATAAGGAAGAGAAGGAAGGTTGATGAGGCCATGGTTTTGGGTGGAATTGGGGTTTTCTGGGTTCTGACTTTGATTTCAGTAGTGTGGTGTGTGGATGAGGTTGTAAATTGTAATGCATAATTCATAAATATATAGATAGCAGAAGAACATGCAGGCTGCATGAGTAACCTAATAATCTCTTGGACTGTTTTCTAAATTGTCAGTTCTTCCAACCAATTTCCAGAGCTTAGTTGATAATGTATAATGCTTCTTGCGTCATATTTAGATAGCAGAGCATGCAAGCTGCATGAGTAATCTGATTTCTTGGACTCTTCTCTAACTCGTTAGCTCTTCCAAACCACTTTTCCAGATTTTTTAAGAGATAGGTAAGATGCATTCATCATATATAGATAGCACACAAGCTGCATGAGTGCAAGTGACCTAATTTCTTGGACTGTTTATAACTCACTTTCCAGAGTTTGATTTGTTCGCCCACCTACATTTGGATTGGATATATACATTACCCAAAAGAAGTCCTTACAAAGAAACATGTGAACTAAGAAAGGACGGTAAAATCAGTGTTTATACAGTCCAACCGGGAAAGTCGATAAGCGGTTTTAGCGGTATGAAATGGTTTAATCACGGTTTCTGCGTAAAATAGTCTATCGCTGATTTTACTGGTACAGCCTTCAATACAGTATGAAAATCCTTTAGGGAAAAAAATCAAAATAGAGTAAGAATCATCACAATCATATAAGGAGATTCTCCTCACAAACCCATCCCATTCTATGTTTCCTGCGTTGTGCGCACAATAAGGAAGGATCATTCGGTCCTTTTGCTAAGCTCAATTAAATAAAGGCAATACATTATTTCCTTACATATATATTCTAAGGAAAGTAGGAAATCTACTTATTTTCAGCAAGGCGGCGGAAATATATTACTAGAATCGTTATTAATTATTCCAAATTATATAAGGAAAAAAATGAATGAGGAAGCTTTCTTTACAAAGTCTATTGGATGAATAGAAAAAGTAGGTACTTGCGTTTTTTTTTAATAATTCATGATAATTAGTTAGTTATTAATAATTTGTCGACAAAAATATTTCTCCCAAAATTACTCAGAAAGCTAAAACTTTTGGACCAAGTTTGTTCTCATGGCAGCGGAAGTCTCTGCTGTCAATTTCATCATAAATTCGATCATATATATGAAGTGACAGAGCGAAGCACAAACATTTTACCTGCCAGCTGAAATTCTCTATATCACTTCACTAGCATTAGTCCACCGGAATGAAATAGTCAATTTCACTATATTTTTAAGAGATACCAATTACACAGTGGTATGCAAAATATTTATAGTATTCTCCATGAGACCCTGTTGACTTCCCATGATCGTCTGATAATCCAATTCAAATCATATAACAGGTTTCTCTTATTTGCTTACTTATTTCATATTTTGATAATTTATTAGCTTAACAATTAGTGTATCCTCTTTTCTCTACTCGGCACCCAATTTCAATTGTCTTGGTACTACAAAAGATTATAGCGACCATTAGTTTATTCATTATACTGGTATGAGAATTGCTAAATATGGGTTAATTGCATGGTTGGTCACTGAGATTACGAAAAACGTTCATGTTTGGTCACTGGAAATATTTAAATCCATTGATGGTCACTAATTTTAGTGAAAAAGTTCATGTTTGGTCACTCTCCGTTAGTCTCCGTCAACCTCCGTTAATACCGTCAATTTTTTGATGATGTGGCTAACAGAATTGATGACTCACCCAATTTTAACCTGAATAAACCAGAATCCGACCCGCCATGTCATAAAAACTTTAACCTATGACCCAACCCAATTTAAACCATTACGAATTAAAACCGTCCACCTGACCCAGCTTTCTTCCCTACACCTCCCGACCCACCTGTTTCTCCCTTGCTGAACAAAGTCCGTCCAGATCTATTTTGATCCGACGAAACTCCGTCGACCATCACCATCCTTCACCGACCTCGTTTCCTATCACCACCGCCATCGCCTTGTCCCCGTACGTTGGAGTCTTGGAAATCACGAGGAGCCTGAGAGGATAAGCAAATCTGCAAATGTCCTCTACCATCTTTCCCCATCTATCACCGGCAACAAATCCCAAAGATCCCCTAGGAACTACTACTTCAAGCTATGGCTGCGACTGCTGCTTATTCTGGAGTCATGCGAAGACGGCGAAGGGAGGAATCATAGTGAGGAGGGATTTTGAACTAGAATATGAAATTGGGGTTCTAGGGTTAGCAGAAGCAGATGATAGATAGGAGATTCATCATCGGCAGCCACGTTGCCGCTTCAATGAGCTCCGCGAGATTCACCGATAATCTGGGATAAGGGTTTTGTCAATTAGCTCCTCCAGATTCATCATCGGCAGCCACGCCGTCGCTTAAATACCTGTATGCTTACTCTGCTCCTGCTCGACTCGGCACGGCGGCGGGATCACAATTCTTATTCTTCTTGCAGTCGAATCGAAGGTAGCCACCACCTCAATACCATTTTGATTCATTTGCTCTCGCCCCGTCTTTCTGAATCTCGACCTACGACGAGTCCTGATTGGGGAGGATTTGTTGATTTGGATCCGTGCATCCTTCTCTCGACGTCGACAGAAAGAAGACAGAAGGGCCGGCGATTCCGAGCCACTATCCAAGCTTCTCGTGACTCTTGTTGCCGGAATTGGAAGACAAAATCTCCGGCTGGTTGATGATTGAACTGTTGTCGGGGATACTATGGTGGTTGAAGCTCCGGCTTCTTGTGGCCCTTCTTTCTCTCGATTCACTGCTTTCTTCCTCTGATAATTTTCCAGTCAAAGTGATGGAAATTTTTCCTACAGTGGAGATAGATTGATTTGTGCGGGGATGAAAACTCCGACGCCCCGATCTCGGTCCAGTTACAAGCGTTTATCAAGGGAAGAGGAAGACGAACTGAAAAAAACCCTTAAAAAATCCCCGAAAGCGACATAAATAACATAAATAACATAGATGAGTGGGTGGGTTGGGTCTGTTCAGGTTTGGTTAGGTTTAGCTGACATGGCGGGTTTAATTGACGTGGCGGTCAATTTTAGGGTCAAAAGGTGCTGATTAGGCGAATCCGTCAGCCACGTCATCACTTAACGGAGGCCGTTAACGGCGTTGGACGGCAGCTAACGGAGAGTGACCATAAATGAACGGGTTTTGTAAAGTTAGTGACCACAAATGGATTTAAATTTTTTCAGTGACCAAACATGAACGCTTTTTGTAATGTTAGTGACCAACCATGCAATTAACCCTGCTAAATATTGTTTTCATATTTTTACGAAGCAATTATTTTTTGGAGTTCAATGCCTTGAGGAAATGTTTCCCGTGGAATTTATAAAAAAAATGTTTCCCGTGGAGAAAACCATCTGAACAATCAGATAGTGCTAATAAAAATTTGAATGTAAGTACATATAATTTTATTAATATCATTATATATATTTTATAATTTAACGTGTGTTCATGCCACGTGGTACATATAATTTTATTAACATTATTATATACATTTTATAATTTATTGTGTGTCTATTCCACGCTTGATTTAGGGGGAAAAAGAACCATTTTTATACCATCAGAATGTGTGGTTGATTATGTCTTTATCTAAGCAAAAATTAAGTTTTCGCATGGTACAACATCAATAAACTATTAATTTCTTATAATCTCTTTAACTATTTCACACATCTTGATCTTACAAAATTATTACTCTCCATTTTACATTCTCATATTTAAGGCAAAAGCGTATGTAAGAAAAAATTTCACCATTCTTAGTTTCTTACTGGTAGGGCTGCAAACGAGCCGAGTTGAGTCGAGTTTTTGCTTAGCTTGAGCTCGGCTAATTTATAAATTTTTCAGCTCGAGCTCGGCTCGAACTCGAATTTTGATCATCCAGCTCGAGCTCGGCTCAATAGAGCTCGATAAATGCTCATTAACACAGCTTGTCAAGCTGAGTACAAGCTCGGCTCAAGATGAGCTCGATTTGAGAAATAGATTGTCGAGGTCCATCAAACTTGCCGAAAATCATTATAATCATCTTCAGGTGATGCATTTTGGAGACTTTTCAGGTTTATTTATATTTTCAGTATTGCAATTTTCTTCGTTTAAAATAATTTTAGCATTCTTATCAACTTATCTTTGTGTTGTACTTTTAATCTTATTGAAATTGTTGTAGTGTTTGATATTTGTAACGCATCATATAAAGAAAACACATGAATTTGTACAAAAATCTTTCAAGATTTACTTTAATTTGAAGGATTTTGGATTTAGGGATTTAGGGTTAGGGTTTACAATTTGGAATTTTGAGTTGGGATTCAAAATTGAAGGTTAAGGGATTAGGCTAATGGAATGATAGTTGTGATTTTGTGTTATATCATCATATTAGACTATGCTACCAATTAATTTTTGTGTTATATCACCATATATATATATATATATATATATTAATTTAATGTGTGTCCATTTCACGTTTGATTTAGGGAAAAAGATAGTCATTTTATACCATTAGGAGGTGTGGTTGATTATGTATCGTCTCTATCTGAAGCACAAATTAAGTTTTCTCATGGTGCGAACATCGATCAACTATTAATAGCATAATCTTTCTAACTATTTGACAAATCTTTATCTTACAAAACTATTACTCTCCATTTTACATTTTCATATTTTAGGCAAGATATGTGTGAAAAAATTGTCACCATTCTTACTGGTAATCCATTGATTTCATAAGAAATAGATTGTCGAGATCCATCAAACTTGCCAACATCGTTCTAATTGTCTTCAGATGATGCATTTTGGAGACTTTTCAGGTTCATTTATATTTTCAGTATTACAACTTTCTTCGTTTATTATAATGTTAATATTCTTATCAAATGTATTTTATATTGGAGTTTTAATCTTATTGCAGGCTTGAATTCCTATTCTCAATTCAAATTTACTTCAAATTGATGCATTAGAACCAAAACATTCACTTTTCAAAATTTCCATCATCAGATGTTGTTGGCAATAACACATAACGATGAGGAGTACATAGATGGGTTCTTTGGGAAAAAAATAATTTAAGAGTTAGTTCTTTGACATGGGGTTGTCTTTCATTTTATGTAAACGGATTTTAGTCTATAAATCAATTACAATGACAGAAAACACTATAAGGTTGATCGTTCTGAATGGTTGAAATATTTTAATAATTTTGAGTCTTTTATGATATCAATAAATTTGAATGTTCGATGATTTGAAAAATAAATATTTCCACCTATTACGTTTAAATGCTTATCTCGCATACAAATTGTTACTGTTATTTACGTAATTAACGAATGAATCCGGCCAACAGGCCGGGCCACTGACTAGTACTTAAACGGAGTAGTTACTGTGGCAACGATTTTAATCAATAGTATTCGGTTAATTTGATTTGGTTGATTTGTTTAATTCGGCTAAAAGCTTCTTGTTTGGTTTGGTTTAGCCGTTTAGGTGAAATGTTGGCCTGCAAAACGGGGTCTCGTCGTCGATGCTGTCAACGGAATCCAACTGGTGGGTCGATATCGGGCCCGCTATAGGCCCAATCAGGCTTCCGCTAGCCTTCACGATCGGCAAATGTGAAATGGCGCCACCACTCCCCGTCCATAGGATGGCCTCTCCGTCACAGCAAAGGCGGCGACTCCCTTCACCGGCGGCATCTGAACCTGGGTTTTTTTCCTTCCCTAACTCACTCTCACATCAAAATCATTACAAATCTCAAATTACAGCGATAAATGTGAAAAATGGATACAGGTTTATTGAATTTGCTGATCGATTGTACATAATGAGTGGGAGATTTATACAAAGAGAGTGAGTTATTGGTTTAGAAAGAAGAAGTAGATAATATTATCTAGTCCTAGCTACTCTTATCTAGTTATAAATAGGTATGGTGTTTCTGTGTAGTGGGAATGGTGCTTCTGGTGTAGCAACATGGAGGAGTAAATGGTCTGTTGAGTAGCTGTGGTTGCAGTGTGCAGGCTGGCGACTTTATTGCTCTCTTACACTCCCCCTCAAGTTGGCGTGTGGATATTACGAACACCCAACTTGTGAAGTAAGTGATGGAAACGATCAGCACCTAGTGCTTTGGTGAAGATATCAGCAAGTTGGTCGGTTGTGCCAATTTTTAGGGGACGAATCTCCTGAGAGTGAAGTCGTTCACGAACGAAGTGACAATCCATTTCGACATGTTTAGTGCGCTCATGAAATACGGGATTGGAAGCAATGTGAAGAGCAGCCTGATTGTCACAATGGAGAGGAGTAGCTGATGCTTGAGGCATGTTGAGATCCTTAAGTAGGCCACGCAACCATATTAGCTCACTAACGGTAGTGGCCATTGCTCTATATTCGGCCTCGGCAGATGATCGTGCAACGACATGCTGCTTCTTGGTACGCCAAGATATTGGAGCATCTCCGAGTCGAATGAAGTAGCCGGTGGTGGAGCGACGAGTCAAAGCACACCCTCCCCAGTCGGCGTCACAAAAGGCCTGCAAAGTAGGTGAACCTGTACTAGGGAAAAACAAGCCTTGTCCTGGTGCTCGCTTGAGGTATCGGAGCACTGGTTGAGCTGCATCAACATGCTCCCTTTTGGGTGACTCTACAAACTGACATAGGAAGTTGACTGAGTACTGGAGATCTGGTCTAGTAATTGTGAGGTAAAGTAGTCGGCCGATGAGACGACGATATTGGTTGGGATCCGTCTCAATGGGTGTAGCTGCAGCGGCAAGCTGGTTTCGTTGTTCCATAGGAAAAGCACTAGGACGACAACCTTTTAAACCACTATCTTCGAGAATATCCAATGCATATTTCCTTTGACTGAGGACAATCCCAGCAGGGGAACGAGCTACTTCGATCCCAAGGAAGAACTTAAGGGGTCCCAAATCTTTGATGCTAAATTCCTCATGAAGTTGGCGTTTGACGAACTTGATGAAGGTCGGGTTGTTGCCGGTCAAGATGATGTCATCCACATATATGAGAGCAGCCACATAGGAGTTTCCTAGCTGAGCCACAAATAGGGAATGATCTGCATGTGACTGGCGAAAACCAAGGCGTAGAAGTGAGGTGGTGAACTTTGCATGCCAGTTGCGGGATGCTTGACGTAAGCCATATAGAGACTTCTTAAGCCGACACACTCGTGAATCACCTGGTTCACCAAAGCCATCTGGGATCTTCATATATACTTCTTCTTGTAAATCACCGTGCAAGAAAGCGTTATTGACATCAAGTTGATGGAGAGGCCAACCTCGTAGAGAGGCTACTGCGATTAGGCACCGTACAGTCACTAGTTTGGCCACAGGTGCAAAGGTTTCATGGAAATCGATGCCTGGTATTTGGGTGAAGCCTTTAGCCACCAATCGAGCTTTGTAGCGTTCGATCTCACCGGTTGGTTTGAGCTTGATTTTGTACACCCATTTGGAGCCGATGGCACGTTTTCCTGGGGGGAGGGTCACGAGTTCCCATGTCCCATTTTTCTCCAAGGCAATAATTTCAGTTTTCATTGCCGCTTGCCAACGAGGATCTTTGGAAGCCTGCTTATATGTCTTGGGCTCATTTATAGTGGAAATGGCCGAGAGAAAAGATTTATGATTAGCAGAAATCTTATCATAGGATACAAAGTGTGCTATAGGGTATACCTCAGAGTCTGCTGCTGGAGTGGTGGTCTCCGTGATGGAAAGCGATGGTGGGAGCGATGTGTCAAAACCCTTTAGTGTGACTGGGGCCCGTCGAATGCGTGTGCTACGTCGTGGATGGGCTGGCTGCTGGTTTGATGAGGAAGACTGTATGGGTTCAGGGCCTATGGGAGAGTTGGTTATTGTTGGTGGGGCTGCTAAATTAATGATATCATCCTCGTCATCTATTGCTTGAGGGCTATGAAAATTGTTATTTGGATGAGGTGAGGAGGTGGAAGGTTCTTGGTTGGGCTTAAGGCATATTGGCTCAACGTAATTGTGAGGCTTAAGAGTATCAGTGGGCTTGTGAGGGAAAATATGCTCTAAAAACTTAATATCTCGAGACACAATTATTTTATCAGTAGCAGTATCATATACCTTATATCCCTTTTGGCTTTGAGGATATCCGACGAAAATTCCAGGGCGTCCTCGTTCACCAAATTTGTCATGAATTTTGCGATTCTCATGTGTGTACACTTGGCATCCGAACACACGCAAATGCGTATAAGTTGGCTGCTTTTTGAGGAGGACTTCGTAAGGAGTTTTGTTGTTGATGACCTTAGATGGCAACCTGTTGATGATGTATGCGGCAGTGAGGATACATTCTCCCCAGAACTTGATAGGGAGCCCAGATTGAAATCGTAAGGCTCGTGCAATCTCTAGGAGGTGACGATGTTTCCGTTCAACTATTCCATTTTGTTGTGGTGTATCTGTGCAAGAGGTCTCACATGATATGCCTTCCATAGCATAAAATGCCTGCATATTGTTAGAAAGAAATTCTTGGCCATTGTCGGACCGTACTCGTTTAACGGTCATACCAAATTGAGTTTTGACTGATTGACAAAAATTAGGCAACAAGTGACCAACTTCGGATTTATGTTTCATCAAGTAGACCCAAACTCCCCTACTAAAATCATCCACGATAGTAAGGAAATAATGAGCGCCCGTAATAGATGCAGTCTTGTAATCTCCCCAGATATCACAATGAATCAACTCGAAGCAACTTGAAGTTCGAATCTGGCTTATTGGAAAGGGTAAACGGGTTTGCTTTGCTCTAACACATGCATCACAATGCCCCAACTTATTAAACGAATGAGGTTTCTCGGAAAAGGGTAAAACATCAAGCTTGCCTGCAGAAGCATGTCCCAATCGTTGATGCCATATTTCCCGATTTATTCCTTGTACTGTCATCGCTCTTCTCGGTTTTGACACATCTTCCCAAATATAGAGTCCATCACGCAGCTTACCCACTCCAATCAGCTTCCTCGTTGGTAAGTCCTGTACCACACAAAAATCCGAGAAAAATATTACTGCACAATTACGATCTTTTGTTAATCGGCTAACAGAAATTAAATTGCACTCAAACTCTGGCACGTTTAACACGCCATGTAATTGTAGTCCGCCTGTAAAATCGACGACTCCAGTTCCATGTACCGGAACTTTTGCGCCATTGGGAATTTTTACAGTAACTCCACTGGATCCGTTTACTTTAGAGTGCAGTAAAGTGGGTTGGCAGGTGATGTGGTCGGTGGAGGCTGAATCCACGGCCCATTGTTGTAAATTACTACCTGACATATTGGCTTGCGTTGGGCCTTCGGTGCAAATTGAGTTTTGGCCCAACAATTGGAGGAGTTGTCCAACCTGAGATTGTGTGAGCCCCAACCCGCCGCTAGAAGGCTCTCCCAACTCCATTAGGGTCTGAGCAGCTCTCGGTTGTCTCCCCCTTTCCGATCCGCCGCCGCTTCCTTCTCTTCGTCGGCCATCTTGGCCATGGAATCTGTGTTCGTTGTCTCGTCGGCCTCCACCAGATAAATTTCGACCCTTCCATCCCTCCGGCCACCCAATCACTTCAAAACATTCTTCCTTCCGATGACCTATCCTCTGACATACGGGACATTTTGGGCGGTCGTTACGTCTGCCGTCACTCAAAGACGACGAGTGATTGGATGTCGCGGCTGCATACGGGGCGGTGGCAGTGATTACTCTGCCGTTGGTGGTGATTCTACTGGCGTTTGTAGAGCTTCTGCCGTCGGTACCATCGCTTTGGACTCGAAAGGCTGCTGCATTTGTTGGAGTTCGACGGGTGGCGGAGATTTGCCTTTGCTGCTCATCCTCTTGAACGAGATGGAAGGCAATGCTTAAGGTGGGTGAAGGCTGCAAGCTCAAGACATGGGTTTTCACGGTAGCAAATTCCTCATTGAGACCCATGAGAAATTCATACAACTGTGTCTTTTCATTTGCCTCCCTCAGCTGCTTCTGGATGTCGCAAGTGCACTTTCCGCACGAGCATTGAGGTGATGGTGCAATCGCCTGCAGTTCGTCCCACAAGGATCTGAGCTTGGTGAAGTAAGCCGAGATGCTGAGCGAGTCTTGTCGAAGATGGCTGATTGAACGCCTGATTTCATATGCACGGGGGGAGCTTCCCTTTCCGAATCTCTCCTTTAGATCTTTCCAGATCTCGTGTGATGTTGTTGCATAGCGTACGCTATTCCTGACCTCCTTTGTCATGGATGCTTTCAGCCATCCTCGAACCATGGCGTCACATCGAAGCCATTTCTGTAAATCTGTGGAGTCTTCGTCCGGCTTGGCTAAAGTGCCGTCGACGAAAACGACCTTGTTCTTGGCATACAGACTCTCATACATGTCTGCTGCCCATTCTCCGTAGTTCGTATCATGAAGCTGTTCTGCCACATATACCACACCGGGACTGTCCGATGCACTCAGGTAATATGGCGAGAATACATCCACTACTGTGTTGGATGCTGGCTGCGCTGGGATTATTGTCGTCATTGTGGAATTGAGGTAGACTTAGAGTGTTTGGCTATTTTGTGGTACTGAGGTAAGCTAAACTGTTTGGCTATTTTTGGAGTTGGAGTTGTGAGGATCTCCGCTCTGATACCATGTGAAAAATGGCTACAGGTTTATTGAATTTGCTGATCGATTGTACATAATGCGTGGGAGATTTATACAAAGAGAGTGAGTTATTGGTTTAGAAAGAAGAAGTAGATAATATTATCTAGTCCTAGCTACTCTTATCTAGTTATAAATAGGTATGGTGTTTCTGTGTAGTGGGAATGGTGCTTCTGGTGTAGCAACATGGAGGAGTAAATGGTCTGTTGAGTAGCTGTGGTTGCAGTGTGCAGGCTGGCGACTTTATTGCTCTCTTACAATAAAGATAGTACACAGGGATGAAATGTTCCAAAATGGCAAAGAGAGGAAAAAACAAGAACCACCACCACCATTGCTCGCTATCTCATGGAAGATGATGATGCATCTCCTTCAGCTTCAGCTTTACAAGCCGAATCCCGAGCTCGATCCCTACTGCGACGCTTACCGCCTTCCCCAGAGAAGCTAGCTTTCGCCAGCTCCCTCAGCTTCCTAAGCTCACTCCTTTCCTCAACCATGGCTTCTGTTTCCCCTCTCCCTCCAGCATTATCTGGACTCGCCATGGGTACCACCGTAGCAGACATAGCTCGGAATGAATTCCCACGTGGCGGTGGCACATCTGTGTCGGGACTCAACTGAGGAACGCTGGACAGTCCGGTCTTTGGTTGGGATGAACTCGGTAAGACAATACTCGACCATTGCTTCCTCGGCAAGAAAGGTAGGATGAGACCTCTGGCCATGAACCGTGGCGTCCACGAGAGTCTTACCAGCCAAGAAACCAACCCATACCATTCGTTCGTGATATGGGCAATGGCGGTGAGCAGGAGAAGAGCCACCATTACATATCCTAGAACTGTAGCCTCCGTCGGATCTGGCTTCTTAGTCGTGACAGCCATGGAAATGGAGAAGATGGCTGCCTCGCATAGCAGGGAAATGCTTTCTACTGCATGGACACTCCTCTTGATGAAAGGTTTGAGACTCGACAGGTAGACAAATTGTGTCATTGTGATCGCCAAGGCTATGAGGTTGTGCATCCAGTGATCTTTCGAGGTAGTTGCTGCTCCGGATATTACTCCCAAGCTGACTCTTCGAATGAGATCGAGAACTAAGTATGAAGATCTAGCATACCCAAGACACCTCACGGGGCCAGGAACCTTCAGTTCTTCTTCATTGCTGTCATTCGAACTGATGGCTCGCATTCTTCCAATTCCGCCACTTTGGCCACCCTCACTCCACTTTGGAACGGTGCTTTGATCAGTTTTATCAACGAAGATGAAGAAAGGGGGGCCCTTTTGATTCTCAAAGAGGCTTCTGAAGTTCTGTAGGAGAGACGAAGTGGAGCCTTCTCTGTAGACCCACTTCCCCATTACTGGTCTGCTGATGATAAAGAACCACAGCTTTTCATACCATGCCTCCCTCACAATCGTATACTTAATCTCCTTGTATTGAACAAATTTCCCAGGAAGAATGGCGACTAGGAGGAAGAGTAAGACGGATAAAATGAATGCTGCCGGGATGACCAGCAACAAAGCTCCAGTGATCATGCCTCCAATTGTTCCACCTGCAAAAGATGACTCGTATTATTTTGCCATTATCTATAAAAAAAAATGAGACGTATTTTCTGCTGAACATACTGTTTGGGAGATGAATGAACAAAGATTTGAAAAGTAGGTCTCCTGGGCTAGTTCCTCTCACCTTTAACGACAAATGCTGCTGACTGAGAGATACAAGGTAACATGACGATTAGAAGAAGGATCTCAAACCTTGGAAATGAAACCATTCCAAAATTAACTGATGTTGTTGATCCTGTCCTCCATCTCAGGAGAAGGAATATTGAAATATGGAGTGCAAGCAAACTGCCTGCAATCGCAGCAAGCCAAAATAGGTTCATCTCCATGTCTTCCCACCTAATGAAACAACAGCATTGAATCATGAGTTGATGAGTTTTTCATCACAGTCAAAGCCATTCTGAATACGAGTTGAGCAACGTCTCACCCTTTATTGTTTTCCAGTTTCTTCACGACATTGCTGGCAGACAAGGGCTCTCCTCTCTGCAATGAAAGGATGAATAAGGCTGTATTTAGAGAGAATTTTTTTTATCAAATCAAGATATCACCAGAGCATGGTAAGCTGAGGATAACAGCCAAGAAATAAGTAAAGGATTCGGCTGAATTGAGAGGATACCAACCAAGAAATAAGTAAAGTATTCGGCTGAATTGAGAGGCTGTCCATACTGAGCACTTCGCGAGCTCACAGCTTTCCCACAAAGCCCATCATAACTCGTGAAGTTCCCCTGGTGCTTATGCTCACCAACGGGAAGCATAGGAAGTCCAACGGCCATGAAACCTTTTATCCCACTAGTCATATGAAAGTGGTTGGTCCAAGTTAAAGTTGAATCCTTTCTCCATGAAAGCTTGCCACGAGGTATAAGCCACTTGAGACCTTTTATTGTCTCTGAATATTCAATTGGATGATTGGGAGAGAACCAATCTGACATCACAAAGACTTGGAGATGCCCAAACATTCCCTGTACAGCATGAATTTCAGCATGTAAACAATAAACCAGCACAAACAGGTAGGTTTTGGTCCAGGAATGCTGGACACTCAAACTTACATGCAGATTAGTTGATGGACTGGGAGCAACGAATTTGGTTTCTCCTGTTAAGAGAGCACTTATTATTCCGATATTGGCATAGGATAGTGAAAGACAAGCCACTGCAAGTGATGTTGCTAGCACTCCAGCAGTGATAAAAGATTGGAGTGCCGTTGAGACTGCAGGGGTTGAGTCTGCTCAAGTATTCAATATGAAATGTCAGAGCCCTCATTGCTTGTCAGAACATAACCAGGTACAGTTACAACAGAAATTATTCTTACAGTGCTTCAGTTGAACTCTGTTGGATGCCAGATTCTGATTTCCAGAAATATCACTTACTTTGCCAGCAAGAACAGAAACAGAGAGTGTTTTCTCAGCTTCAACAATGACGGTCAATGAGTATAGTGCTCTTGAGAGTTCCTTAAACCTGAAGAAAGTAAAAGATTAGACCTTTTTGAGCTGTTTGTTCAGGCCTCGGTTTGCATCACTTCATTTGTACCTGCCTTGCAATCTTCCCTCCATGTACTTCTACCATTGAGGGATCAAAGCCAAAAACTGGCTTCGTGAACTCCGCAACAAAATTGATGCGAGAAGCTTTTGTCACATTTTGCAAGTCAGAACTTAGCCCTACTGCAGGGTCCTCCGTATCTAAGTTGAAAACTTACTTGAATTATTCCACTTCCCAAGATAGGAGTACATTGAAAAACTAAGAACAAGTTACAATGGAAAAAGGACCTACCATAGAGAATTGTCAGTGGGGAAACCGGTGAAGTGGGAGTGCCAGTCCTGCCAATTATCAAACTGGTTTCAAGCTCAATCACGATGATTTCAGTACGAGATACATTCATGAGCTGGAAAAAAATAATGTTAGTCAAATTCAAGTTCATTCTAGGCAGCAATGCTGATCATGGAAGTCTAAGAGAAGTGCTCACCCGAAAAGCAAACTTGCGATTCCCCTGATGTCCACTAAGAACAGATGATACAGAACCTGACTTGACATGTAATGCACTTAGGACTTCCTCTGTCGAATTCTTTATGGGATTACTGAAATCCAGGTAAATTTTTAAGTCTTCCATTTTGTTAGTTGAGAGAACAGTTCTTGGCACTCCATTGATCTTCAGCACATAGGATGAAACAGGCATCCATAAATCTGCCACCACTGGTCTCCTGTCTAATGACAATAGTGACAATAAATCAAACTGAGAAATTAAAACATCGGTGACTAACTGGTCCAGAGGAGGATGATTTAACAAACCAAAGCGAACAATCATCGCCGAATTTTTGCTCGTTGTAAAAGGGTTTCCAGCTTTATCTGTACAAGAACCATTCACCATTCTGATAAAAACACGGCCGTACATACTTCCCATGGAGAGGGCTATGTCAACTTCGTATTTCAGGTTCGGTTTAACAGCCCGCAGAGAAGAAGCATTAATAGAACCTGGACCGTCTATCAAAACCTGCAAAACACCAGGAACACATCAATTTCACATCACGTAGTTGACATTTGTGTTAGAGATGGAAACTTTTTCTTACATCACAGTGTGATGAGTTCAAGCACTTCAACCCACAAGCCTCGCTGAAGGTGACATCAACAGTTACTTTTGCAGCATTTGTGTAGCTATCTTCACTAGACAAAGTGGCTGTTGGCGGAATTGTATCTACCGATATATTGGAAGCTTCTGAATCAGCAGAATGAGTTACAGATAAACTGGAGCAGATGAAAGAAACTGGATGGAAGAGGTTGCTAACCGATGAACCATGAATAAGAGGTAGAGTTTCTGCCTCCATTCTGAGTTGTGACATTCAAAAGGAAAGTATGCTTCTGATTCACTGTCAAGTTCCTCAACACTGTGGAGTCAGCTGGGCATGATCTCAAAGCTTGGCCATCAAGCTGGTGGAAAGCCAAGTAAAAATGGTTTAGGGAAATTCTGAAGGATTTCTCTCTCCCATTTATGATTGCCTGGAAGTTATCCAAAGAGAAGAAAGTTTACCTCACAGGCAATAAAGCAGCCATTGCTGCTGCATGCATTCCTGCCATCCGACCCTTCAATGGAATACTTGAATACGGCAGTTGAGAACCTTGAAACCGCAGATGGTGCCTCATGGAAATGAATTGTTACAACAGATTGAGCTGAATCCAATTCACCTGCCACAATCACTGCTATGCAAAGTACAAATAACTTGAACAAACCCATTTTGCAAGAATCTATGGCCTCTTCAGATTTGAGATGGGAATTGAAGAAGGGACAAACAAGCAAACAAACAAAAGAAAGCTTTCATTCTATTATGCTTTGTTCTCTATTTTAATGATTTATGTTGGACGACAAGGAAAATACATAAAAGATGCAAGACAGCTACCAGAATTTATTGTTGTCAGACCATAGCTGCTCACCATAAAGACTCACATTTTCTTATTAACAACCACTATCCGAAATCCATATCCGTGTATGTATGCCTTCTGCAGACCATGTTTCTCTTTCCTCGCTCTCCCCCCCGGCGCCCCCTCTTCTGTCCTCCAATACTCATCAGATTCTAACTGTACCTTGATAATATATAATTGCTGATAAAGTAAATGCATCAGCTGCACAATCAGGAGAAGGAGCTTTCATTACAGCACAGTAAGATTGGCCTAATGGACCAATGTTTCCAAAAGATGATAATAAAACCACAAATTGCAGATCCACAGCTTCACCCTGCGGCTGTTGGATTGATGAGGGGTGAAGCAAGTCCACATTTATTATTTTCACCTTCCAAAAAGACCAAACTCCATTAAATGTTAGTCATTCGCCATATGAAAACTGTGTACTCCGAGTAGTAATGAACTATAGCAACATACTCCCTCTTCTGTGCTTTTGTAACAAAGAGAATAATGATATTCAGTTAATCACAATGGTCAACTTCAAGACTAAACTTGAAGGCCACAAATCTTACGTTAAATTTAATTCATACCCAATTGAGCAAGTTAGCAAGAACGGACAATGGAGTTCCTCATGACAGGTCTTACTCCCTCCAGCTATACATATCATTTTACTTGGATCATCAACAAGATGTTGAATTAGCTATACAATGTCGTCTTAAAAGTCCCGATCAAGCAAGATTCAGCGGATTTACATATCTCAAGTAGTATAAGGTATAAGGTCTTCAGGCTTTACAGCTGATTCACTGTCCTCTTCGGACTCCATCCATGGCAGTTTAGGTCCCTGCGCATTTTCCATTCACGAAATCAGTACACTTAACAACAAAGTTAAAAGGAACTGTTCTTCCTTCCTTTTCCCCAAAAAAAAAAGTTCCTCCTTATTGCAGAAGCTCGGTTACCTTTCCTTGCCGTACGACTACAGGAGTTATTCTTGTCATGTCAACCACAGTGGAAGGATCAGCCACTCTAACACCACCGTCAACAATGAAATCCAGTCCCTACATCAACGAGCCAGAAGGGTTGAACACTCCAAAAAGAATAAGGGTAAGGTGAAACTTTAGCAGATGGATAAATGGTACCTCTGGTCCATATGCATCAGCTATTGCAACAGGATCCAACAACCATTCATTTTCCTTAAGACCCTTCACGCTGATGCAAAGAAAAAGAAAGTACAAGGAAGCCTTCAGGTTTCCTTTCTCAAATTGCTTCTGTAACCTCATTGTCGGACTTAGGCATCCCTGAGGCCATTATCCAGCCAAAGTTTATGTTTCTTCCCAAAACAGCGAAGGAAATTCAAGTGGAACAAAAACCTTGTGGAAATCAGTGGTGCATCAAGCTTTTCAAGTATTTCCCGGCAAATGGCATCATCCGGTATCCTGACGCCCACATCCTTCCGAGCAGCATATTTGGCAGTTGGAGTCCCATACCTCATACATCGTTTAGGCAACTCCTTGCTTGCAGTCAATATGAAAGTGTACTGTCACATAAATGCATAGCCACAAATGAGGAAGTAAGACTAGCCATGATCATCAATCCAATCAAGTATCACAGCACATCCTATTGAGATGCAGATGCAATGTAATGGAAACTTCCCAGTGATTTAACCAATACAACCAGCTGAGGAACAACATCGCCTTCCCAAATGCCCGTAACATTTAAGAACGGACCCAGATTACATCCTTACTTACCGGTCCGGGTAAACAATGCTTAACAGCTCGGAAGATACTCGCGTGTCCTTGGCCATCACCACGAGGGAAACCAGTCGTGTACGTGTCTATATCTCTCAAAGAGCGGCATAAGATGCTGAGAGGCTGCATTTCAAAGCAAGCAAAATAATCAAGTTAGAACTACTCCACTCTGCAACTGTAGGAGTAGGTTGATTAATCAGAAACAACAAATTTGCTCCCTGCCTTGGATGGTTCAATGTGTTTAATCCTGCAAGCAAAAGAAAGCCGTCACACCAAATCCAATGCCAGGGCTACCAACAAACTCAGAACGCCTTCAAAAGAGGGAGAAAAGTAGTACCTACGAAGACGTTCAATCGCTGATGGGCTCTTCAAATCACAAACTATGGCGTACCTAATAAACGAACGAGGACCCAAAATTCAGCCTCCCTAATTAAACTGAACGAGAAACGATCGATCGCAAGGAAAGCAAAACTGCTGAAATCGTACACAGTATCAGTGGGAATGACCCCAACAGCGCCCTGCTTCAGAAGCTCAACGATGGGATCCAGCTTCCAGATATCCTCTCCACTAGGATCAGCTTCCACATAAACCAACCCGCCCTCCTACCCATTTTAATTGCGATGAGAGGAGAAACTCAGAAAAAACGGAAACCGAAAGAAGAAGAATCGGGAACCTTGGTGAAGCGAGGAGCGGAGTATTTGAGACGCTTGGGGCTCCTCTTGACAGCCATGGCCAAGACTCGGAAGCGAAGAGGAGGTTTGGCGGGGGCGGGAAACGAGAGGCGGGACGGGAATTGAGAAGGGCGGAGCATCCGCGGTACGGCCAAATCAAGCCCGGGAATTCTACCTCCCACACTGACTGTTTTGCTATCCGCCATCTTCGGACTGATTTTCTTGCAGCTGAAGCTTCTTTACCCCAAGGAGACTTTACACCATCCTCCTGCTGCTGAGCTCACTCTCCGGTATCGCAGAGAAGAAAAAACGAGAAAAGTGATAGATGAAAGTTAAGCAACGGCTATCAGAGGAACGACCTGTCGTTTGTCCAGAAAGGATAATAATGGGCCGCAGGCCCGCAAAGCATTATGGGCCTACAAATGAAACATGAATGAACGCACGCCAACCGCGAGAAGCATCGAGATGGGTGCGCTCTCTCTCTCTCTCCTCTCTTTCAGTCATTTTCCACTTCTTAATTCCGGACCCTTTTCTTCCTTCTTCCGTTAAACCCCACACTTCACTTTTCTTCAGTTGCCCCCAACCTTTACACCAGATCTGATTCTCTTTTACCAACCGTACGCTCTTCTTTCTCCTCTAGAAAATCATCCCTCTACCCCAAATCGAACCAGAAAGGAAAGGCTGTGCATATCTATATATGGCGGACTGGGGCCCAGTGATAGTGGCGGTGGTGCTGTTCGTGCTGCTGACTCCAGGCCTGCTGATTCAGATCCCTGGGAGGAACAGAGTGGTGGAGTTCGGCAACATGCAGACCAGCGGCGCTTCCATCTGTGTCCACGCCATCATCTACTTCGGTCTGATAACCATCTTCCTCATCGCCATCGGCGTCCACATCTATGCTGGTTAATTAATCAAGACTCTGTACAACGGAGGCAGTTTCCCAGTTCGTTCTCACCGCTTTCGTATATTCAAGTTTCTCTTGCTTCTTTTGCGTTTCTCGTTTCCTGTTTTTGGGCTGTAAGAAGGAATTAATGGCCTCCGTTTGGACTTTGTACTACCCAATATGCAGGTATAGTGTTGATTCTCAGTTCACCATATCTCTGATCTCCGCTCAGATTTCATTTCTGTATTTTCACTATTTTGTCTTTTCTTACTTTTTTAATATTTATTGCGTTTTTTCTGGACGGTAACTTGAAACCTGTGTGTGGATATGTTTGAGGCTTTTAGCCCGCAAACATAAACCCGAATGAGGCCCACATTTGATGGACTCTTACTGAAATAGTCAACCTAAAAATCAGCCCATTAGGGAAGTCAAAAAAAAATTGGAGGGTTCCGAGTTCCGACCTAAAATTGAACCAAATCGGCATAAAACCAGATTGAAAGAGGTTTAACAAGTGCTAGAATTAACCTTCATCGGAACCAAATTTCATCGTCAATAAACTCGACCATCCAAACGATATAAAGGGTCACATTCCATCGACGGCCAAAATCAGATGATGAATTAATAGAATTTCATCGTCTCGATGTTAAACCGGAAAGAAAATGACATCCAGCATACAATCCCCATCGATCCATCCAAGCCAATTCCTACATAGAGGTTTTTTCTTTTTACCTAAAGAACCAATATGGCAACACAAGAACCACAGAAGTGATGATAACAACTCTTGGAACTCATTATTATCAAGTCTACACCGATAGAAAAATATATGCTACCAAAAAAGTCAAAATTTAGGCAATAAATAGACGGACCACTACATTTCATTTGATTCCCCTTGGCAGCAGGAGCAGCTCCGTTGCCAGCCTCCAAAAGACATGCTTTCCAGGTTGGAAGAACCGAAGCTGTCTTACCGGGGAGCTGGTGGAGGGGCGGGAGGCATCTGGGATTTAGCGAACCCGATCCAGGCGACAATCCCAACAGCCAGAATTACCCACCCGAATGCGTCGTAAGTAAAATCAGTGTTCTTATTCTTCTTCTTCGTACCCTGGGAAGAAAGATACGCACGAGACACAAGCACCAAGGTTTAAACGTCATCGAAGCTTAATCGTTGAAGCCCAAGTCTGGGTACTTCTTGCATCATGTAAAAGAGAGAAGGAAAAAGGTTCTAGATAGATCATTAGAGAAATCGCTACAACCTACAAGTGAAGGTAGATGGGAGGGACAGTAGAATTACCCTTGTGCTTGTTGAGGTGGAAGGTCCTCCCGTGTCAGGTTTGTTGAACTCAATTGGCTGACCGCCTATTGAACTATGCTTATGGATCTCCGCGTGCAAATCTGGTGCCTTGCGAATTACGACCAGACAAGCATACAAAAAGATCAATAACACAGAAACCAGCCAAGGAAACATACAATTTCACTGAGAAAAAAATCCCAAGACAGCCTATTCTGAATGAAATTCTTAACATGAACAGAAGATCAAGTACGTTCAAGAGAGCAGCTGCATAATTCGTAATCCTTGAAATTTCTATCAACAACCCCATCAAAATGTTCCAAAAAAGACAGAATTGAGAGTTCATTTTGCTGGAGAGAGAAAAACTTCACAGTTCACTGAGTCACACATAGATCTATTGGAGCACAGAACCGGGGGTAGACCCCATTTACAGTCTTTAGCGAAAGATCAACCAAAAGATTTCCATCAAATCTGTTGCCAAAATAAATTGGCTTTGGTAACATCTTGCCAAACAGTTCAGTACAGATGTGTTTCCTGGATGAAACTGGCTGTTCAGAACTCACTAGCAAGAAGAGATAATTGGCAAGGTCCGTGGTTAACTAAGACATATTATTGGTACAATTAACAAACAAAATGATGCTTGTAAACACATAGCCGGCCACTCTACACTCTTGCCAACAAAATTGCAACTCCAATTACTCTACGACATTGGAAAGGTAAAATTAGTATTTTAAAACAAAGGCTCTCCCCATCCTTTATAGGGTCTACATAATATATAAGATCTTGAAAAGGGGTGAATGAAAGTTACCTTAGAAGCCACTTCTAGAGATTTGAGGTACAACTCATTGGATGGATCCTACAAAAGAAACCAAACTACTATCATCATCATACATCTAAACAACAATAGCATAAAAACCAGCTAAACAGCAATACAGCTCCGCTAGGACAACGTTGGCACGAGAGGTAAAGGTACCTCATCAACAGCTTGCTGAAAGTAGGCAGCTGCCTTCTTGAAATATACATCTGCTTCCTCCTCGTCGGGGGTTAAGAATGCAAGTGACGTATGAGCATTTCCCAAGCACCATAAGGTGTCATGCTTCTTGGGGTTTATCAACAAGGCCTCCTCAAACTTGTTCATTCCATCTGGCCAAACGAAGAAAAAAAACTCCCAAATCAGCTTATCTCCAAAGATCCAGGATTTGGAGAGAAAACAAAAAAGAACTACCCAGTGCCGAGAGACCTATGCACGCTCAATCACCTTGAATCATTTTCTTAGAATCTGCAACGCTCTGAAACTGAGCCAGCTCCAACAGAGATCCACCCCACCTCGTCAAGTTCTGCCCAACCGAAACAATTCATAAAAACAATGTTTTATCAAATTCAAGCAACCTACAATTGATTCACCAGCCCTCCTAATTCAATTCAGAAGAACCCAAATCGATAGAGCTTCTCTCGCAGCAAAATCCTAATCGAAGGATGAGAAGAAGAGTTAAAGGATTGAACGCACCTCGGCATCGAGAGGGTTGTTGGCGTAGGCGGCCTCGGCGGTCTTCCGAGCGTGCTCGAAAAACAGTATCCTATCGAACTCGTTCCCAGCAAGTTCCATGGTGGCTGATTTACTGAACCACCGCGGAGGAAATCCGGTGGAGCTTCGGGAGGGAAAGGACAGTGTTAAGAGTGTGTTCCTTCGTGCCTAAACCCTAGGGATGAAGCAGCGAGCTGCAAGCAGATGCAATAGAGAACTTGGGGAAAGTAAAGCAGTCATGAAACACGCGCGTGAATGTATGCGCGTGCGCGGGAGTCCCGTACAAGCCTGAAACGACGACGTAAGTTGTTCTGTCTTGACTGTCTCGAATAACATTCGAAGAGGGAAGGGTGAGTCCCCCACGCGAATGAGTGATCCTGTGTGGAGTACGAACCTCTTGAGTGATGTGGAATCCCCTCGCGGTTGGGAACTGTGGAACGACGTGATGTTGTCCACGTGTAACGTTGATTGTCTTGTATAATTGCAGTCTGGGATTTGGGCTTCGATTAATAAGTTAAGAGTGCAGGCCCATGTTTGCCAAAAGGTCACAAGTTTTTTTGAAGCCCTAGGCTCGGGCTTTGAAGTTACGGGCCCATACTAAAGCTAAACATGTTGATCCACACCAAGTTAGGTCTTTGAATGGCCAAGAACGGAGCGGGACAGGACAGGACAAGTCGAAAGTAGATACTCATACTTCGCCTCACACTACTACGGGTCAGGTCGGATAATACACACGAGCGGGTTCAAATTGACATCATTACTTATATGGAATTGAATGAACTCGGGTGATATGAATCGGAACATCATTTGGCGTTTCAGTTTGTTCACTCAAATCTAAGTAAGTATCGTATTAATGTTATTGATCAGACTTTATGGAATTGCCTTTGGAACCTGAAGGTCCCGCCAAAAATAATTTTCTTTTCTTTGGCAATTGCACCGCGAGGTCTTGGTTGTTTGAGGGTTGGACTTGATTCATGTGCCATTTGTTTGCAATAGAAAAGAAGAATATATTGAACATTTATTCTTCTTTTGTCATTTGGCTCGTCATTTCTGGTGTGACGTATGTTTTCATCATTCTCTTTCAACTTGATCGAAGGGGTCCTTTGCGATTTTCTTGCGTTAGAATTTGTTCTCAATTTTAACTAACAAAGACAAAACTAACAAAGACCATTATAAGTCGTTGCATTTTGTTTGTGGGTTGTGAATACTATGGAAGAACCATTGCAAGGTCATGTTTGATTATCTCCACGCACTACTCAAATTTTGGTTAGGCAATGGGGTTATCAAGTCAGTGAATTTGATTGAGCAATTGTTAGCCCTGTTGTCTGTTGAGGACTCTGATACGAGCCTACAACCACCGCTCAGCCGCTTCCTCCTCATCCGACTGTGCCCCACGACCAGTTGTCGTATTTGTTGAAACAAAATATAGTTTGAAAGTTGTGATTGTAAAATAAATGTTATTGTTGTGAATACATGTAATGTTGAATTCGTTGCATTGTAAAATACAACGTTTGATATGTGTGTTTGTGCATGTCACATCAGTTAAAAGTCGAGATAAAACAATATCAACTCAGTTATTTCAACAATCTCAGCCAAAGGTTGAGATATAATAATCACTCATCTTGAGTGATAGTTTTGTCACATCATAGAAACAATCCATGTATTGTGTCTGATACAAAATCAAAACAACAATGCATTCTAAATAATACAAGTATAGTAACAAGCTCACAAAAATAATTGCAACTTAAAAACGATCCTAAAATGATTAGGTGCAGAAATTCAAAACAACAATGCATTGTGAACAATGTATGCATTCTAACTATCTCAACCAAACAATCACCAAAACCAAACGATCCCTTAACTATTTTGAGTGATAGTTTGTGTCACATCAAACAAACAATGCATGTATTGTTTGTGGAGAGAGAGAAAAAAATGCATGGTGGACAAAACATGCTTTGTAACTATCTCAACCAAACAATTTGCAAAACCAAATCGAATGTATTACCCATTCAAATATATTATCCGGAAATGCGTTAGGGTGGATACTAATTTTTTAGTAACTATCGTGGATACCCAATCAAATATATATTTTTTCTTTTTTTAAATGACGGTCAATATTAGATTAAGTGTAAATCAAAATATTATCACGCAAAATTATTACCTATATTTATAACTTGCATCACCAAACCCTACGGCCACCCTCTCCCTGATCGAGAAATCTCTCAGCCCTCCGCCCGCCTTCATGCATCGGCCAACCTTGTGCCTGTTGCCTACGCCGGCCACCCCTCCTCGTTACCTCTCTCTACGACCCTCCCGATCCCCCTTCTCTCCCTCCCTCCCTCCCTCCCTCCCTCTTCCCTTCTGTTCTTTCACAGCGAATCTTTCGCAATTCTCAATCTCATTCTCATGCAAAAACTTGATCCCATTTCTCTCTTCCTTTTCTTGCTTTCTTCTTCTGCATCTCCTCGGGACAAAAACAACGGCTAGGAAAGAGATAGTTTTTCTTTGTATTTGTATGTATTTTGTTTGTACTAGTAGTTATTTTTTGGGCAAAGACAATATATTAGCCATAACTATTAAGCAGCGGGGAATTATAGCCACAACTATCGAAATACAAATTATTAGTCAATCGCTAAGTTTTCGTTAACACTTCTGTTAGTAATGATGACTAAACTTTTACGGTGCTGAGTTGGCTCCCATGTGGCAGTCATCATATCATATTTTTTACTAATGTTGACATGGCCTTCTCCGTTAAAAATTTGAAAACAGTAACGACTGTTAGCCAAATCTTGACCCGCAACAATAGTTATGGCCAATAATTTGTATTTTGATAATTGTGGCTATAATTCCCCGCTACTTAATAGTTATGGCTAATATATTGTATTTACCCTTATTTTTTCGTAATGGTAGTGTTTTTTTCCAATGGTATTGTTGTTTTGGTAGCGATGTTATTGTATTGGTATTGGTTAAATATACAATGGTATTGGTTAATAAGCAGTAGTGTTTTTATGGAATTGTATTGGTATTTTTTGAAATGGTAGTGTTATTTTAATGGACTGGTATTTGTGTTTTTTGAAATGGTAGTGTTAATTTAATAAATTGGTATTGATTTCTTGTTTTATTGTTGCAGCAGTATTAGTTCAACTGAACGATAACAATGATTAGTTTGGGGAAAAAAAGATATGACTGAAGACTGCAGAGTAAAAAAAATAGAGAAAATTGTAATTAATATATTATATAACGTCATAAAATATAATCTATTAAAAAACCTAATAATTTATTTTTTTATACTCAATTTGACTTTAATCAAAGTAATCACCATAACGGCTCCCAATCTTATCCGCCTCTTCTCCATATAGACAACAAAAATTTAATAAGAATGTTCGCAGATTCCCATCAAAAAAAAAAAAAAAATATAGACAACAAAAATAATGTCCAGGGGTAAAGCTGTTTGGAGTCCACAAATGATAAAACAGCGGACTTGTATTCTTGCCTAACAATCTTCCTCTTCCACGACACTGATATATTATATCAAATTAATAGGAATATATATAATACCCATCATTGATCATTCCCATTCGAAAACGATTTGCCAGCTATTTATTTTTTGGATTATTGTTATTAAAATGCAATACACCTCTCCAGTTTTCGGTTCTTGTTTTATTCATTATTGATATTTTATTTTCAGAGGATATTCGGACAGTTTTTCTGTATCAAACGACCGAGTAGTTTTTTAATAAATATAAATAATCAAAGACCCATTAATTTTCAATTACAATTTTTTTTGTTTAAGCTTAAAGCTTCTGTCGATTAGTTATTTACAACAAAGCTTCCTTCCAAAGCTGATATAAGACAAAAACATAGCAGATCCACCTTATAGTAATAGTACCTCTTGCATAATTATTATATTTTTCGAGTATGAAAATTTGGATGACATTTATTGACTTATGAATTAAAAATTTGCACAACTTCAAAAATAACGTGAAATGACGTACAATATAATTGTCAGAAAGAAGAGTTAAAGAGTAAACATATAAGAATGTGTTCAATCTAGACTACTTATAATACATTTTAAAGAGTTTGATTTGCTCCATTTCAAATTTCCTGCAACGAGAGTGAAAGTAGGAAGGGTATTTTTGTCTACACAATCAATTTTTTATTTCATATAAAAAGATATCACTACTAGGATTTGAACCATTGTCTCTTCCACCAAAGACAAGAATTGTAACCAATTAAGCTAAACACAGTTGTTGTACTTTATTAATACAAAAACATAGAGTAAGTTAAAATTATGAAAAACAAAGTACTTTTCTATCACGGTTAGTTAGCCCGCCAAGTCTCCTGTAAGTATTTTGTGGCGTTTGATACTTCTATTTTCATATTTTAATAATTAATTTATAATTTTTTCTAAATTATAAATGAAGGATAATCTTAAAATCTCAACACAAATATCATTGGTTTGAATATTGCGCATTGAATTAAAATGTTGAATGAAGTGTTCAATGACGACATAAGAACACTGGTACCATACATTTCAAGAAAAATAAACATGGCAAACACCGATACCAATTATCTCGAGAGTCTATGCTAAAATTCGAAATTGTTTAATCATTCAATTTGAATGATAGTTTGGTCAAATCAAGCAAATAATTCACGATTGTGTATGAACAAAAATAAAAACATATGTATTGTATTATGAAAAATGTATTTATTTTAACAATCTAAAAAAACAATCAAAACTTCCATACGACTCATTATTTCAATAATGTAGTTAATGAAATAATTTTTATCAGCATGCTGCAATGTTCAAGCTAAGGTCCAAGTATTAATCACCAGTATATAGTATTCATCATAGTTAACTATTTCAATATCCACAACTAACTATTAATGATTACGTGCTTTCTCTTAGAGAGTTTAATGTAGCACTCTCATGCCTAGCTATGCTCTAAGCATTTGTTTTCTTTTTCACAATATCATTTGCAGTTATTTATTAAATCAACTTTGTTTCTAGCTTTCAATTCCTAATTATTCACTTCTTACCAACTTATGGGAATGCTAAATATATTTTTCATGTCTAATCTATTAAACATAAATGTTGCTTATCACTTAAATTCAATGGTATCCATGTTAGGTATGATGTCACCAACATATTCTCTCAATTTCTCCAAAAAGCATAATATCTTGCGATTGATACCATAGTTTCATTAGGTAAATTTCAACAAACTCAATCAATATTCGAACTCTTCGAAATAGCTATCTCTACATGCGAATATGAAGTACTGAGCAACTAAAAC